TATGGATTCTGATTGTGATTTGGGAGAAAACTGCTGACCAGGGCCATGAAAGTATTTATGAACTGTATAACAGCTACATTTTATGGCAAGCTGGTATGTTGGCATTCTGATCTCTACCCTAGTTTTATGTACATTTCTATTAATCTGTAAAGTCTTTGCAGGGCTTGTTTCTTATCTTAGAGTGGAGAAAAGAAAAAAAAAATCACTGAGTCTTTAAGGTGTGGAATCATATTCCATTATTTTTCTTGCTGTTTCTTCTATTCATTTCTAACGTCTCCTTTTACAGTTCTTTTTTCTTAATTTACATGCGTTATTTATTCGTTAGGGTTATGGATCCTATGGATCCTTTGTTTTTGCTATAGATATTTTTCCATTTAATATTTAGGTTTTTATACATAAACATTTTATTGTTCTTTTGTTCTTTTATTTTTAGTTGAGGTGTAGTTGTACATATTTATGAAATACAGAGTAATAGTTCAATGTATGTATACATTGTGTAAGGATCAAATCAGGGTATTAGCATAATATTGAAGATATCTTTTTTTGTTGTGAACATTAAAATTTTCTCATTTTGGTTTTAAAAAATCTGTATCAAATTAATGGTTACAAAAGCAATTTTATTACATGGTTTATGGTATAGTAATGAAGTCTGGGATTTTAGTGTATCCATCACTCCAATAACATACATTGTACCCATAAGTAGTTTCTCATTATCTACCTCCATTGTCCTCTGCTGCCCTTCTAAGTCTCCAGTGTTTATTTTTCTACACTCTATCCATGTGTACACATTATTCAGCTCCCACTTGTAACTGAGAACCTGTGGGTGTTTCCCTTTCTGAGTCTGGGTTGTTTCAGTTTGGATAATGACCTCCAGTTCCATCCACGTTGCTGCAAAACACCTGACTTAATTCTTTTTATGTGGCTGAATAGTATTTCATTGTGTATATATACCGCAGTTTTCTTGACCCTGTCTTCACTGATAGACATTTAGGCTGATTCCCCATCTTTGCTATTGTGAATGGTGCTGTTATAAACATGTAACTTTTTAATACAATAATATTTTTCCTTTGGAGGTATACCCAGTAGTGGGAATGCTGGATTGAATGGTAGTTGTATTTTTAGTTCTTTGAGAAATCTCCATACTGTTTTCCATAGACATTGTCCTAGTTTACTTTCCTACCAAAAACGCTTAAGGGTTCCCTTTTCTCTGCATCCTTGCCAATATCTTTTATTTTTTGCCTTTTTAATAATAGCCATTCTAACTGATATAATGTGGTATCTCATTGTGGTTTTAATTGGCGTTTCTCTGGTAATTAGTGACATTGAGCACTTTTTCATATGTCTGTTCGCCATTTGTATGTCTTCTTTTGAAAAAATGCCTATTCATGCCCTTTGTCCACTTTTTTTGATAGGGTTGTAATTTTTATTGTTGAGTTGTTTGATTGAGTTCCTTGTAAAATTCTGAATATTAGCTTGCTGTTGGATGCATTGTGTGAAAATATTTTCTCTGATTCTCTGGGTTATCTGTTCATTCTGTTGATTGTTTCCTTTTCTGTGCTGAAGCTCCTTAGTTTAACTCAGTTCCATTTGTCTATTTTTGGTTTTGGTGCTTGTACTTTTGAGGTCATACCCATAAAAATATTTGCCTATACCAGTATCCTGAGGCATTTGCCCTGTGTTGTCTTCTAGTAGTTTTATTGTTTGGGGTCCTGTGCTTAAGTCCTTAATACATTTTGAGTTGGTTTTTGTAGATGGTGAGAGATGGGAGTCTAGTTTTATTCTTCTTTATATGAATATCAAGTTTTCTCAGAACTATTTATTTTTATTTACTTATTTACTTATTTTTGAGACTGAGTTTGGCTGTGTTGCCCAGGCTGAAGTGTAGTAGTGCGATCCCAGCTCACTACAACCACCTCCTCCCTGATTCTTGCAATTCTCTTGCCTCAGCCTCCTGAGGAGCTGGGATTACAGGCACATGCCACTACGCCCGGCTAATTTTTTTTTTTTTTTTTGTATTTTTAGTAGAGATGGGGTTTCAGCATGTTAGCCAGGATGGTCTCTGTCTCCTGACCTCAAGAGATCTGCCTGCCTCAGCCTCCCAAAGCTGGGATTACAGGTGTGAGCCACCACGCCCTGCATCTCAGAACTATTTATTGAAGAGAAGCTTCTTTCTCTAATGTCTGGTGTCTCTGTCAAAAATCAGCTAGCTGTAAATATGTGGACATATCTCTTTCTTTTTTATTCTGTTCCATTGGTCTGTGTGTCTGTTTTTGTACCAATACCATGCTGTTTTAAGTTACTATAGCTTCATAGTATAATTTAAAGTCAGAGAGTCTGATGCTTTCAGCTTTGTTCATTTTGCTTAGGATTGCTTTAACTATTGAGAATCTTTTGTGATTCCATACGAATTTTAGGATTTTTTTCCCTATCTCTGTGAAAAATAACATTGGTATTTTGATACAGATTTCTTTGAATCTGTAGATCGCTTTGAGTAGCATGGTCATTCATATAGTTTGAATATTTGTCCCTGCCCAAATCTGATGTTAAATTACAATTCCCAATACTGGAGGTGTGGCTTGGTGGGAGGAGTTTGGATCATGGGGGTGGATCCCTCATCCCTTTCTGCTGTTGTCACAATAGTTGGTGAGTTCCTATGAGATCTGGTTATTTAAAAGTGTGTGTCTTCTACCCATCTCCTCCCCAGCTCAGTCTCTCTCTCTTCCTCTATCTCTATTGCTCCTGCTTTTGTCATGCAATGTGCCTACTTCCTCTTCATCTTCTGCTATGACTGTAAATTTTCTGGGCCTGCCTTAGAAGACAAGCAGGTGCCAACACCATTCTTCCTCTAAAGCTTGCAGAACTGAGAGCCAATTAAACCACTTTTCTTTATGAATTACTGAGTATCAAGTATTTCTTTATAGCAGTATGGATGGCTTAATATGGTCATTTTAACAAGACTGATTCTTCTGATCCATAAGTGTGGAATATCTTTCCCTTTATTTCTGTCCTCTTCGATGTCTTCCATCAGTGTTTTGTGGTTTTCCTTGTAGAGCCCTTTCACCTTCTTGATTAAATTTCTTCATATGTATTTGTTTTGTATGCCTATTGTGACTGGGATTGCTTTTTTATTTTCTTTTTCAGCCAATTCATTATTGATGTATGGAAACACTGCCAATTTTTGTATGTTGATTTTTTTATTTGACAATTTCACTGAATTTATTCATTAGCTCTAAGAACTTTTGTGGTGGAGTTTTTAGGGTTTTTTTTATATATAAGATTATGTCTTCTGCAAGGAGAGTCAATTGGAATTCCTCTTTTCTAATTTAAATTTCCTTTACTTCTTTCTTGTTCCTAATTGCTCTTGTTGGCACTTCCAGGACAATAGAAAATAATAGCAGTGAAAGTGGGCATCCTGTCTTTTTACTGTTCGTAGAAGAAAGACTTTCTGCTTTGGTCTGTTTAGTATGATTTCAGTTGTGGGTTTATCATTTGTGACCTTCATTGTGTTAAGGTATGTTTCTTCTATTGCAAATTTGTTGAGAGTTTTTATGAAATGTTGTTCAATTTTATCAAATATGTTTCTGTATCTATTGAGACATTTATATAGATTTTGTCCTTGACATTGATGAATGATAAATCACATTTATTTATTTGCATACATTGAGACATCCTTGCATCCCTGGGATCAATCTCACTTGATAGTGTATTACCTTTTGATGTGTTGTTGTATTGAGTTTGCTAAGGTTTTGGGGAGAGCTTTTGCAACTGGGTTCAACAGTGATACTTGCCTGTGGCTTTTTAGATGTTCTTATCTAGTTTTAGTGTCAGGGTAATGCTGGCCACATAGAATGAGTAAGGAAGTATTTCCTTCTCTTCAATGTTTTATAATAGCTTCAGAAGAATTGGTGCTAGTTCTTTTCTAAAAGTATGGTAAATTTGAGCAGTAAAGCCATCCGGTCATGGGCTTTTCTTTGTTGAGAGAAGCAGTTATCTAACATCAGGAATCATCTGACATTTATACAAACCTTTTGATGTGAGTTGAAAGTGATTACAGAATATGGAACTGTGAAACCACTACCTACATCTGAAACAAGACTTAAGTATTCTGCAAATCAGATGTAATATTGAACACATTTTAGAACACCAAAACAGGGATGCCTATTAAGTATGTCTTTAGTATTAGGAAATAGACATGTATTTGTATTTTTATTTTAAAATCATTTTGAAATATTGTTATCTTACAAATAAAAATGATTCATATAGTATTACTAGCTTTTAACTCTACATTTATAAAAATATCTCTCTGGTCCACTTGTACTTATTTACACAGCATCACAATTTTCTTTCACAGATTCTTCATGTGAAAGCTATTTTACAGGATATGGTAGAAATAGCCTATTTATGTCAAACTAAAACATGTAAAGATCATTCCTACTGTAAGCCAATACAAATTAAAATGATTTACAAATCACAAGAATATGTTTTCAATTTTCTGTTGTAGACACTGCATTTTACATTAGTTTCCAACTAAACATGACTTTTAGAGCAGAAAAGTTTTAAAATTTGTAAGGTAACTTTTTATATCCACATTAATTACCATACAGTACAAATTCCTCATTGGAAACTATCCTAAAAACAACGGTAAAATAGTATTTTGAATTAATATTAAAGGAATTAAGAATAAATTTGGGCATTAAGCTGTGCATATCTCAAAAGAATTGGGTCAGTTTTGAAGTAAGGGTAAAATTTACTGTAGAGATTTAATTTTCAAATAAACTATTTTATTTGAGCTATCCAATGTGTCTAAGAAAATGCAAATAGATCTCAAAACAAACTAAGGGTAAAATTTACTGTAGAGATTTAATTTTCAAGTAAACTATTTTATTTGAGCTGTCCAGCGTGTCAAAGAAAATGCAAATGGATCTCAAAACAAACTTTAAAATTTCTCTCAGGAACAAAGAAACTGAGCTTAATTTCATTACTATAATTGTCATTTGCAGACCTGCTCCATTGGGCTTCTTTGTGATGATGAAATAAGGAGAATTAGCTGTTTACCTCCCATCTTTCAAAGAACAGATGCCATTTTCACACAGACGTATACAGTTCCCCCTTCTGAGACTTTGGTCAGTAGCTTTCCATCTGTAAAGGCTATAAGAATATCGACCATAATGGACACTTACCCAGTTGATCAAGGTAAGTAAAAGTGAGTAAGATATTAAGAAGTTTGAGGTTGAAAAAGTTATGTTGTAAAAGCATATTTTCTGAGTTATTTAAATCTTTTTTTCTAAGATTCATTCATTCTTTTTATAAGTATAAAATTGAGCATTATTGGTTGTGTGTCCTATTTTATGTTTTGTTTTAAGCAATGCCGTTTTCTAATAGTATTTCTGGATCAGTAAAAAAATGTGAATTAACAGTTTCTGTTTAGCTTGTAAATTTTGATAGACAATTGGACCTCAATCCCAGCACACTTCCTTGTGCTACTTGCCTCAATGTCTTTATTTAATATTCTCTGAGTAATTAATGTAATTTTAATATTCCTATCAAATTATTTGACTAACACTCAGATAAAAGAATATTTGCTTATTTTCCTATTGTGAATTATTTTAACAGCTTGAAGCTGTTTCTTACATGTCCTATTATTTAACTTTCTAAATCAAGTGATGTCATATTATAAAGAGTACATTGTACATTAAATTTCAGATTTACTCTTCATGTAGTCAGTGTCATGTATGATAGAGTAAAAATTATAGCTCTTAATAAATTTCTTGTTTAAGAAAAAATAACTTTGAGAGGTATTGGAAATTCTAAATGGAAAGGTATCTTTTCTAATTTTTGTCTATGTAATTTCTATTCTTTTAAAGAATTAAATTTAAATAGAGTGTTATCTAATAAAAAGAAGAACATTTTGCCTCTTGAAAAGGTAAAATAATATTTTAAACGTTTCTAACCTGATAGGTCAAATATTAATTGGTTGTGTCAGTGACAAGGAATTGTAATTTTTCATGTTTTCTATTTCAAAAGAGTCATTTAGTTGGGAATATGTGAATTATGTTTAATGTCTCTTGTTCTGATGTTAGCCCTCCCATGGAGTGTGAATAATAAGAATCTTTGCATTTATGCAATTTGTGAAGTCATTAAACATCCTCATAAACTTTTATTAGAAATATGATTTACAGACCATATTTGTCTGCATATAATGGATGTGAAGTGGCTGTACAATTTGCTGAAGACTTAGCCCAGAGCCAAAGATGTTCATTTTTCATTCATTTTTCTAATTTTTTTCACTTTTCCTTTTTGTAGGTCCAAAACAGACAGGTGTTGTCAAGCATAACATTCTCCCAACTACGGATTGGGCTACTTTAAGAACAAGCACATCCTTGGAAAGCTACTTACTCGAAGAATTGATTGTCACTAGAGAGCTTTCAGCAAAACATAGTCTTCTTTCTTCCACAGATGTTTCCTCTTCCCGATTTCTAAATTTTGGTATTCATGACCCAGCACAAACTGACCAGGGCAAAACATCTGTATCAAATATGCCTGTTCTAACTTCAGCAGCCACACTAGGTTTCTTTCTCTCTGATAGGAGAGCAAGGACCCCATTTATCATGTCTTCCTTAATGACAGATTTTATTTTTCCTACACAATCTTTATTATTTGAGAACTATCAGACTGTTGCTTCATCTGCTACCACAATGACTTCAGTAATTAGAAGTATTCCAGGGGCTGATATGAAGTTAAACAGGCACTCATTACTCTCCCGTGGATTCCTGCTTACAGCTGCCTCCATAAGTGCAACTCCAGTTGTCTCTAGGGGGGCTCAAGAGGATATTGAAGAATATTCAGCTGTTTCTTTAATTTCAAGAAAAGAGCACAGGAGATTGCTGAGCTCCTTGATGCCTGCCATTTTTCCTGCTAAGATAATTATATCTAAACAGGTAACCATCTTAAACTCATCAGCCCTGCACCGATTTGGTACAAAAGCCTTCATTCCCAGTGAATATCAGGTTATTACTGAAGCTTCAAGCAACCAGAGACTCACAAACATCAAATCACAGGCTGCTGATTCTTTAAGAGAATTAAGCCAAATATGTGCAACATGTTCTATGACTGAAATAAAATCCTCTCATGAATTCTCAGATCAAGTTTTGCATAGCAAACAGTCCCACTTTTATGAGACATTCTGGATGAACTCAGCGATATTAGCCAGCTGGTATGCACTAATGGGAGCTCAAACTATCACTTCTGGGCATTCATTTTCTTCTGCTACTGAAATAACACCATCAGTGGCATTCACAGAAGTGCCATCTTTATTTCCTTCTAAGATGAGTGCAAAAAGAACAATTTTATCCTCATCTTTGGAAGAATCCATTACCCTATCAAGTAATTTGGAGGTTAATTTATGTTTGGAGATGACTTGTTTATCCATTGTCCCTTCACAAACTATGTCTTCAGACTTGATGAATTCTGATTTGACTTCACAACCAACTTATGATCAACTGTCAGTATCAGAAAACATTTTAAAACTATTGAGAGTAAGACAATATGGCATAACTACGGGACCCACTGAGGAACTAAATCAAGATAGCTTATTGGACATGGAAAAATGTAAAGGATCTCATACACCGTTCAAGCTTCACCCAAGTGATAGTTCTCTGGATTTTGAGTTAAACTTACAAAGTCATCCAGATGTCACTTTAAAGACATATTCAGAAATTATACATGCAAATGACCTCAAAAATAATCTTCCACCATTGACAGGCTCATTTCCTGATTTTTCAGAAGTATCCACCAATGTTGCATTTTACTCAGTTTCAGCAACTCCAGCACTTTCAGTACAGACTTCCTCCATGTCTGTAACTAGGCCAGATTGGCCAGATTTTACAAATTATATGACCTCTCTTAAAAAAGACATCAAGAATTCTTCAGAATGGTCCAAATGGGAACTTCAGCCTAGTGTGCAATATCAGGAATTTCCTACTGCCAGCCGTCATCTTCCCTTCACTAGATCTCTTACTTGGTCTTCACTGGAATCCATTCTGGCACCTCAACAGCTGATGATTTCTGGTGAGTTTCTTAGTTTCTGTTCAGTAAACTTTTAGAAATGAGTTTCTTTTCTATAGAGAAGAAAGAGTCTGTCATGGTCACCAGGTGCTCTAAACAGTCTCGTAATCAGGGCAGCAGTCAGTTCAATGGAGAAGGCACCTGCTGTTGTACCTGACACAGATGGTTATTCTTTATGCACTGTCACAAAGGCTACCAGATCAATACAGTAGTAGGTTGGAGACAGCTATACTGCTGGCAAGCAATCAGAAACTGAACTAGTTCAATTCATTACAACAGATCTTTCAAAGTTTAGAAATAACTTTTATTCTCATTTCTTGAAATAGCTTCTTTGTCAGGTTGAACACAATGTAACATACTCTTTTTAACGTTGTCTTCAGTTCTGGCATTTTTTAATATGGGAAAGATGAAATCACTGGAACTTTATTGAGATTTCCTATCCTCTATGGCATGTTATATCATTGTTAAATTTAAAATTGTGGTGTTTCATTTTACATGATTCAGAATATAAGTTAATTCCATGTCTTCTATTTAACAAAAGTACTATACAAAAATTGAAAGAGATAATAGCATCTGTGAATTTGAATTCAGAGTCTTCATATATTAATGACAATCCAGTTTTCTTAGATAACATTTGTTACTTTAAAGCACATTTGAAATCACCATTCTCTTCTCTCCTTGTAATTGCTATCAAATTGGCAAGGATGTAAAAAAGGGAAAAAATTTAAAGAATTGCATTTATCAGAAAGAGAAAATTCTTCATTATTTAAAGATGTTCTATCTTGTGGAATTTTTAAGTGTTACTTTGTGGCAGTGAAATTAATTTTCCTTTGATAAAAAAAATGTTTACTGTTTCTATGTTTGTATATGTATGGGTGTGTGGTTTTGCTTCACATATTACCTCAACCTTTAAAAGGCTTTATGTGTGTAATTTATGGCTGAAAATTCAGTAACATGAAAGAACAAGTCATTCTGTTTGGTGGTATATTCAATATGCTATAATTTTCTCTACACAATTTCTTAACATGATAAATTAATTGCAAGTTGAAATGTAGTATTCTCCTTGTATGTTTACAGGCTAATAGAGTGTGGTTTAGCTGATATGACCCATAGACAATGCCTAAGATGTCTTTTCTCATATATAAGGTTCTTGGTAAATGTAGCAGAATTAAAATGTATCGCAAATAATTTACCTCCTAACCACCTCTTAGAAATAATCGGGACACTAATTCTTTATGACCAGGAGATAGAACTTTAAGTTTGGTCTTCTTGAACATAATCCTGCTACTTTTCACTTTTCCAATCCTTCATTCCCATTGCCACTTTTCTTTGATTATTTTGACCTCGCCCACATCTCCTAATCTCCTTCCAGTTTTTCTTGCCTTCCCAATCATTTTGTCATTATAATACATCATTTGCAATGCATTTGTTGGCATTCTCCAATATGTTCATCAGGGTCACATCGGTGAATAAACACACTCTAATTGGGTATTTGGGGAGAGTTTAATAGAGCGATTATTTACTAAAATGTGGGCACAGTTTAAATAAATCTAAGGATAGTATGGTTCTGAAGAGACCAGTAATGGCAAAACATAGTTACCAGCCTTGGGCCTAAAGAAACAGAGGATGATGGTTTCCAGGTTCATCCATGTCTCTACAAAGGACACGATCATTCTCAGGAAACTGACGCAAGAACAGAAAATCAAACACCGCATGTTCTCACTCATAGATGGGTGTTGAATAATGAGAACACATGGACACAGGGAGGGGAGCACCACACACTGGGGTCTGTTGGGGGGAAATAGGGGAGGGACAGCGGCGGGTGGGGAGTTGGGGAGAGATAGCATGGGGAGAAATGCCAGATATAGGTGATGGGGAGGAAGGCAGCAAATCACACTGCCAGGTGTGCTCCTATGCAACAATTTTGCATGTTCTTCACATGTACCCCAAAACCTAAAATGCAATTAAAAAAAAAAGAAACAGAGGAAAGAGAAGGACCAGAACTTTAAAAATGAAAGCTTCTAGGTTACAGAAGCTGTAGCCTTTGGAAGTAAGACATAAGTAATCCAATGCGAACAGACAGGGAGGAGACTAAACGATACCAGACAACCCCTTTCCTGTTGGCTTCCAGTCTTCTGCAGGTGCTTCTTAATTAACCAAACCTGGTCAGTAGCTAGAGGCTGAAGCCAGTCCTTTGACCTGATCTCCAGTGTTTTCAGGGTACAATAAACAAGGGTGGAAAGACGATTTGAAAGAGCAAATGTTGATATATTAGGTTTCTACATTTGTCAATTCCCAGCTTATATTTTGTCAAAATTCATAATGTCTTGTTTCACTAAAAATCTTACGGATTTCCTTAACTAGGCTCTTAATTCTTTTAGGCTATCCTAATTAATTTTGAACTGGCTTCTTAAAATTTTCATCACAGTGATTATTTTAATTTTTTTCTAATATTTCTTAGCATGAATGTCATAACCATCTTATTTGTTTAGCAAATGAACTTAGTTTTAACTTCGCAACTGACAAATGCCATCTAGTCTAATTAGCCTTATTTCCAGACTCCATCTTAAAATTAGCAGTGAAGGAAAGGAAAATAAGAAGCCTTGGTGATACAATTGTTCCAGAGCTCTATGCTTAAAAGTCTATTCCTCATCCATGGAATTTCTTTCACACCTTGTCAAAACTCAATTGATGTATGATATACATGTGGGTAAACTTCTGCAGTCTTAGATTTTTTTTCCTGTTAGTCCATATGTCTTTCTTTTACCCAATTCCAAACTGTCTTGATTACTATAGTATTTTCTTCTTTTAAAATTGTTTTTCACTATGTAGACGCAGATGTTTTCATAGTGGTCATTGTTTGGTATCCATGAAAGATTGGGTTCTAGGAACCTGCATATACCAAAATCCATAGATGCTCAACTCCCTTACGTAAATTTGCATAATATGGCATGTAACCCACACACGTCTTCCCAGATCCTTATTGCTATACCTAGAAGGATATCTGTTTCTCCTCCAAAATCTTGTAATGCTTCTTAAGCTGAATTGGCAAACCATAGCCCTTGAAGCCAAATCTTTTTCCATGCCTACTTCTGTAAATAAAGATTTATTCAAACACAGACATGCCTATTTGTTTACATATTGTCTACAGCTGCTTTCATACTTAATGCCACTAAAGAATGAGTAGGTGTCAGGGAGGCCGTGTGACCCACACAACCTAAAATACTTACTGTCTAGCACTTTATAGAAAATGTTCGTCAGTTCCTACGTGAAACCCTTTCATATAAGTTAGCTAATATTGACTAAAATAAGTACAATGGAAAAATCTACCTATTTATTTGTTTTCCTCTATATGTATGCCTAGTTGGTTCTTTGATATTTTTTTTAACCAAGTTACTCTCTAGGCACAATGTACTTACATCATTGGTTAATTTAAATCTCATTATAATATACTCAAAATGGAATGACAAATATTTCCAAGATGCTAAGGGATTAGTATAGTATTTATATATTTTATTACGCATACAAGGATCTAGAGAATTTTTATCATTTTATCATTGGAAAACCTAGGTATAGAGATATATTTTTGATGATAAAGGAAATTTGATAATTTAACACTGTATTGCTTATTGGAAATTTGTAATTATATTAAAGTCAGCAAACTTAAAATTAGCGTACGTTATTATTATAAATATGAACTTAATATAAAAAGGCGGTTGAATACATATGCAATAAAGTACCTAAGGTAGCAAGCCCATCATTTTAGAGTCTCTTGCTCTGGTAAATTTTTCACTTCCTGTTGGACCATGAGGAAAAAAATGGACACTCCCAGGTAGTGAACATAGTATCCAGTCGGTAGGTTTTTCAAGCCCTACTTGCTCCCTCCCCTACTTCTACTACTCCACAGTGTCCACCTGTTCCTATCTTTGTAGGTACTCACTGTTTAGCTGCCACTTACACATGAGAACATGCAGTATTTTGTTTTCTGTTCCTGTGTTAATTCACTTAGGATGATGACCTCAAGCCGTACATATATTGCTGCAAAGGACTTAATTTTGTTCTTTTTTATGGCCAGGTAGTATTCAATGATATGTATGTACCACATTTTATTTATCCCGTCCATCTTTGACTGGCATCTGGTTTGGTTTCATGTCTTTGCTATTATGAATAGTGCAGTGATGAATATATAAGTGTGTGTGTCTTTTTGATAAAACTATTTTATTTTAAGTATGTATCCGGTAATGAGAGTGCTGGGTCATTATTTTATCTCTAAATGGAAATTTTTCAAGTCTGAAAACAAAATTAGAAAATTATAAATTAAATGTTGATAGTGAGTACATTTTATAGTACATTAACTAAAACTAATACCTTTCTAAGCCAAAAAATGATCTTAAATATTGTTAAAGAAAATATATGCAGCCATGCCTTGCCTTATAAGACAGACATGTGATTATTAAGTGTTCTTTTAAGTTGATGAGAAAGTGCTGACCACTGGAACAGTAAAAGAGTTTTCAAATAAAAGCTATAAATATGCATTAAAATATATTCAAAAATTATTAAGAGCAACCCAGTATCGAATTCAAAGTGGAACACAAATTTTAACTACCTGTTTGTAAGTATTATTTTTTGTAATTGTAATTGTCTGAAGTAGGAAAGCCACAGTGAAAACACTCTATAGGTGGGAGAGTAAATTGGCACCATCTTTCTAGAGGATTATTTGCTAACAGAAATTTTAAAAGCATTAAATATAATTTCAATATTAGAAAATTATTACTGATGAAAATGATATTATTAAAATTAAAATTTGAAAACAATTATCCTAAGATGGTAGCTTTATTAAATAAATATTGACGTGGAAAACTGATTCTCTCATCCTATGAAACAAAAATGGTAAAACCATGTATACAACCTATTTTTAAATACATGTATACATGCACAGCACATATATTTAACCTAATTCTTCCAGAACCTTAATATTGTTTTTAATACTTATTTATATTTTC